TTCATGAAAATCTAATAACTTTTTGATATACATGTCGGCCATATTGGTTCCGCCATTTTGAATTTCGCAATTCTGATACCAGATTCGTAATTTGCGGTCCAAATAACCTTAAGTTTCACGCCAAGTTTCACGAAGATCGGTAAACTCCTTCTAATTTTGGTCAGGTTTTTGGCCATCCGGACCACTGTGCGTCGTTGTGCAACAATGTTGGGATTTTTCCAGATTGCAATCAAAGTAACAAGCCCCGAAGCTTTGCTTTGCAACAATGTTACCGTTCAGGAGGCGTCTAGGCGACAACAAAGTGGCAAATCGAAAGCAATTGTAAATTCAACAAAATTGCAAACCTGAAATATTGTTATTGCAGCGATAACGAAGGGAAAATTTCCCAGAAAATGAAGGGAATAGAGGGGTATGAAGGGGGTAGAGATACATAGAGGGTTTTTCCCTTACCACGCTATCGTTTCTAGGCGGGTCGAGGCCACGTGGTTGGGCGTGAAAGACCGCGCACTGAGCGCTCCTGACGCCAGCAGGCATCGTCGCTCTCACGGTTTCACTTCCCTGTTTCGTAAAGAGCATATATTCCTCGAGTGGCTTCATGCCAGGACCTCCGTTGATCGATACCACGACGTCTACAAGAAGAGGGTATCCGTCATTTCGAATTTGCAATGTGGCTGTTGATCGTTTTGTCTAACATAAGAAAGACAAGTATTCCGTTAGAACAGTGATCCAACGTCACCGCGGATGATCGTTCGGGGACGGCAGACTTTTTTTTATCTTTTTTTTTTTCATTTTAGCAATCGGACTTGGACGTTAACGTGTCACTCACTGCTGAGACAGCCGGTGTATCCTTTGTACACGCTGAACCGAGAGTCCGACGTGTTCAAACCGCCCAGTTGAATCTCCGTCACGCCTGGAGTGTCGTCTTCGTCGTCGCCAAGATTCAGCACGGGGATCGGCAGCAGCTGGACCGGTTCGCGGTCGATCTGCAAGAAAGAATACGATGGAACGATCGTTGAGGAGGATTAGGATCCCAGAAGGGTAATCAACTATTAATTCCTCGAGAATCAGAAGAGCTAAGCGAAGGAGACGTTTCTTTACCTTTCAATTTCGATCGGTTTCTTCTACTTTAGTTCTAGATATCGAAAGCATTTTTAATATTTTTATTTCTTTCGGGTCTCTTAGCCACCTCCGACCCCCTAATAAGGGTCGGTGAGCGCGGGAGGGGGGGCGGTGGTGGGAACGCATAGTCTCCCCACCACTTCCTTCAGAGGCGCAATGCAACGCGATAACAGGGGCCTCCCCTTTCACCTTCCGTTAATCCTTTCGGGACCGGTCATTAGGACGTGGGAGGGGGTGAGTGGGAGAGAGTGCTCCAAGAGATTATCCAAAGGTCGGTACCTACGCCTGAAGGCCATACCCGACCTCACCCGAAGGTGACGGGTTTGTAGAACGACAAACGGGCGCCTAATAACTGATTATTAGTACCAGTTACCACTGGTAGGGATTCTTATTCTAACGAACCCACACAGGCCGAAAAGAAAAGAAAGAAAGAATCGAGAAAGAAAATGGAAAGACAAGCCCTCTCCATTGTTACACTTCATCGAGGCAAGTACTCGGAAACCTCGTAAAACTCTAGTCTCCAGCAATTGTAAGGAGTTTTGCTGTACGGTCCTCTTTTCTGGGAAGGTCTAGCACCATCGACCACCCCAGGGGACGGACCCCTGCGGGAGGGGGTGGAGGACGGGTGGAGAAGAGGGCGGAGCGCGAGCCAGGCCCCGCCCACCGCGCCAGCCCCTTTAGCCTCCTCCTTAGCCAATAGGATTCAATCCTCCCTCTTCGATCTCCTGTTGCAGACAGCGTTAAGACCACAAGGTCCCAACGTCTCTCGCCCTCTGGTAAAAACATTTTCAACCTACCAACAGGGTAGCTGTATGGTTGTCGCGAACATAGTAGACACTGTGACGAGCCCCGTTCAGGAAGTTCCTGTCGTTCAGTCGCACTCCGTACGCGGAACCTTCCCTGTCCTCCTCGAATATCAGCTGGCCCTCCGACGTCAAGGCAACCAGGAGGTAGTAGCTTCTTCTGGAAGAAACAGTTTTCGACAGACATCCAAGACACCCCCACAGGGGATTCCCGAGTCGTTAGAAGGATCCATCGACTTGAGAGAAGGAACAGCGAGGGCTTACTTGTTCTCCGTTTGCAGGAGCAGAAGCGACGTGGTGTGCTGTCGAAGCTCGTTGGTCGAGAAAGCCAGTTGGACCTTCACCTGGCTCACTTCCCCCACGATGTCGAACTCGCGCTGGAGAACGCTCTCGCCGCTGAAGTCTGCTCCCTTTTCTAACAGAGAATGTAGACTTCGTGTTTTTGGGAAGTTCGGAAATTAACCTTTGCAAGGAACGAAGATCGAAGTCTGACCATTTTTTTTTTTTTTTTGTTTACACCATTGAATTCAGCGTTTAAAACCATATACAGTAAAGACCGGATAAGTGCAAGAAAATCGGGACACAAACATTCCAGTTATCCAGTCGAGGACGGAGAGTGTAAGAGATAGAGGTCCGAGTTAGGTTAAGATTATATTACACTTTTCCCTGTGTGGTGGGGGATAAGAAGTAATCCGTGGTTGTCGTAGGAGGCGACTAAAAGGGACAGGAGTGACTGCGGGTAGGCCGGGACGTTAGCTGACCCTGGCCCCCGGAGGGGCCATGATTCCCCTCGGGACGGACCACTAGGATCACGGGGTCCTTCTGGGGCGCGTGAGAGTTGCAGCGGGGAGGGTCGGGGCGTGCCGGATCATGCCTCCGACGATCCTCCCTTACAGGTGTCGACATCTTCTTGCCCAGTCTGGAGACCCTAGGTTCTCCCTCGAGAAGCCGAGGTATGCGTAATGCATTTCCCCACGATAAAAAAAAAAAAAAAGGAGTGACTGCGCGTAGTGGCGCCCGCAGTCCGGTGGGGAGGCATTCCGCTCCGGAGGCGGTACTCCACCATTGAATAGCGGAGGAGGCGCGGAGGGGCACCGGTAGCGTTCGAAAGAGATCCCGGTGCCCCTCCCCAAAGCGCTGAGGCCCGCCACCGTGGAGTTTTAGTGGGTATTCCCCTCCTTCTGAGGGGCGAGTTCCACACAAGCCCCTCCTTTCAAGAGGGCGTGCGTAAAGGCATTTATCCAGTCAATTCTGTCTTGCACTTAACCAGTCTTTACTGTATCTACGTTTCAAGCTTTCGTCTCGATAACTACTCGTGTCTAGTTTTTGTGGCGTTTTGTGCCCTTCCCTTAACATCGAACCACGTACCATCGGCACAATTCTCCCCAAAATAGGAGGTCAGCTCGCAGTTGCACGAGGACTCCTGCCTGCCAAAGTCCTCCGTACAGATGCCCAGGTTCTTGCAAGGCACAGCGTCGCACTTCATTTGGCAATTGTGCAGGACCTCTCTGCTGCCTTCGTGGTTCGCCTCGTTAGCTAAACTGGGCAGGTCCACGAGATAGTCCCCTATCATCAGACCACGAAGACAGCCGACGTACCCTTTGATCAGCATTCCCTCTTTGCCAACTCTTAGAAGATCGTCAGGGTCGAAGCCTCCTAGATTCACCTATGTAAGATGGCTGATCATTGCGTACGTTCGGTACAACTCGACGGCCCGAAATCTCACCTGGAAGTAGTCGCTGGGCGGAGCCGGAGGCCTCTGAGGTGCCAGGACCTCTTTCTCAGGGTTCGTCCAGGGCTTGTTGGAGTAGGTGTCCAGCAGGACAGGGGTGGCGTTCAGGGTAACGTTGTACTCGTTAACGTGCAACGTTGTCGACCTTTCGTTTCGGATTATGGCGATCTGCACGGAGATCCCCGTGTTTGCGCCTGGAAGAGGGTCGAGGTTTGGGTTAGCAGAGCGTCTAACAACGAAAAAGAGTTTAATCTACCTGGGTATTCGACGGTGATGTTTTTGATCTCGTTGGCAGCGTTGAAGAGGTAAACGATGCTCGTCCCGTTGGAGATGTAGAGGTGGGCGAAGTTGTTCAGGTGGTCGTTCGCGTAGAGAATCAAGGAGTGAGTGTCGTAGGTTCTCAGGTTGATCAGGATGTTCTGCAAGAGTATAGTCTTCATCAACTGTTTCTCTTCGTCCTGTTCATCCGTCCCAAAGTAGTTCTTCTTCAAGAAGGCTGCTTGCGACGTGAAGGTCAGAGCTTTGTTGTTTATGTCTGCGTAACGATCGATGAAGAGAGTTACTTAAAGGAGATCGAGGATTAAGATAGATGGTTTGAAACTGGGTGCGGTAGCTTACTCCTTTCGCAATAGGTGCCAAGGTGAGCCCACCTGTTCTCGCAGACGCACTCGAATTTGCTCCAGAGTTCTACGCACCTGGCGCCGTTCTCGCACTTATTCGGTTGGCAGGAGGGTTTGCAGTCCTTTATAATCTCGGACAGGTGGACCGACATGTAGCTGTGAATGTCCAGAATCTCACCGTTCACGACTAGACCTCGAAAACAACCGATGAGACCCTGACGGACCGAGGAAGTCCTCAAGTGCTCCCTGAAATGGAGCTCGACATCTTTAAAAGTTCAAAGTGGAATCTTCAAGCCGCGTGTGTAGTTGTCGATACTCACGCGGTAGCTCCACCGATGAACATGGAACCCTCGAAGGGTCCGAACTCCTCCTCAGGGAGCAGGTCAACCATCTGGAACTCGGTGTTGATCATGAACCTGACATGGTAGTCGTTGTAATCGATCCAGATCTTCTGCCACTCGCCGTTGTTCAGTTTTCGTACGCTCTTCACCTGCAAATCTCTCACGGTGCCAGTGTTCAGGGTAAAATTGAACGTCAAGCGGTACTCCGAGGTGAGTGCCACCATGAAGGACGGATAGTTGCTCCTGATCGGTGGTTGGTACAGCAGAATGGCTTTCTCGCCGGTTGTACGAAAGCTGAAGGCTATGTCTCCTTTACGCCAGCCTGGCACTTCGATGTAGGACTGCGAGGTTGTGAACGTGACCACGTATTTCTGCGTGTCTAAACATTTGGGACAGGGTTGGTAAAGCTAAGAAGCTATCGAAGGGAAATATGTTCAGTTACCAATAGAGTTATCAACTGAGAGTTCTACATTACCAGTGGAGCGAGCTGCTCTACCTTATCTAACGTTACCGGTAGAGAATTCTACCTTATCTAACGTTACCGGTAGAGAATTCTACCTTACCGAGCTTTACCGACAGGATACTCTACCTTACCTAGCGTTATCGGTAGAATTCTCTACTTTATCGAGTTTTTCCGACGGAATATTCTACCTTACCTACGACAGATCAACTACTCACTCGTCTCAACGCATTCCAACGGGCCCAAAGTGACTCGACCTTGCGCATCCTCCTCGAGATCTCTCTGTTGCAAGAATACCATCCCTGTGATGCCTAGGGAGTCCGGGGTTTCGTAGTAACCTTCATCTGATAACCACTTTCCAGCGTTTCCAGCCAGAACGTCGCAGTTGCAGCTCAGATTCGAGTCAACGCAAGTCCTGTTCACTGAACAGAAACGTAAATAACGATTTAAGAAGACTGTCTGCGTAAACATTCAGGGATCAGAAGACCAGCAGTTCTCTGGATCTTCGATGCTTACTTCCGCAAGGACAGGAGCCCCTGTTGACGTTCCCAATGTAGTCAACGGTAGTTCCCTTCGAACTCAGGAACCAAGTGGCACTGTGCAACTCCAAAGGCGCTTTGTAGCAATCATACTTGACATACTGGCTGCAGTATAACGAATGTGAGATCAACTCCTGGAGCATCTCGGCAGTGAACTGTCTGTACTTGATGTTGAAGGAGAAGTCAGATTCGGAAATGGATCTCACGTCGACCTGCGAGGGTAAGTTATGTTCCACTATGGTTTTCGTGGAGTCCTCGATGGATTGAAATTCGCATTTCACGAGGGCAGGCGGAAATCTGCCGTTTCCGTCGATGTCGATCTTGTAGACGTCGTCTAGGGTGTAGCCTAGTAGAGCTAGCTCCTCGCAAGTCTTTCTATATTGAGCTGAAAGAATTTACTTTAGCTGCTGAAAGCATTTCTCCGATCTCCTAGTCGATCTTCAGGATTCACTCACCGAAATGACAGTTTTTCCCCATGTACCCAGTGTCTGTGCAATCGCAGGTGATCCTGTCCTCCTTTACAGAGCATTTGCCGCCATGCTCGCAGGTGTTCGGTCTCGTGCAGGGGTCCACGAACTGGCAGTTGTCCAAGGCAACCTCTCCGATGACTCTTTCGGTGTTGACAACGTATCTAGGCTCTATCCTCTCATCGTTCACTCGTATTTCTCTCATGCAGCCAACCAGACCTGGGCAAAAGCGCGTCTGGTACTAATACGTCTAATACTTGTCTATATTATGTCAGTTTTCCAAGCTTACCTGCGTTGCTCTTCCCACTCCCGATGATCACTTTGTCGCCAAGCTCGAAGGTCATGGAGAACAGCTTACTCTGCTTGTTCCTGTAGTCCACCAGGACGCTGAGCTCCCCTTTCGTGTAATTCAACTCAACCGCGTGCCAGGATGTGTTGTACGGTGGAAACTTGACGGCAGCCGAGACCGTCACGTTCTCCAACAACACAGGGATCAGTTGGAAACGGATCTCGTCGTTGACCAGACGAAGCTGGGGACGTAGAAGACGATACTTATGTGCTTAGGTCAAATCGGAGTATATTCTCAATTTTGTTTAGATTTTTTAATTTGTTCTTACTATAAAAACGGAGCATTCCATGTCCTTTACTCGACAAGTGTTCCCGTACAGTTCCTGCGACACTTATCGAGTGAAGGATAGGGAATGCTCTGTTTCCATAGCTGGAATACTGTTTAATTATAGTACAATCTTCATCGCAGAGATAATCACGTGACAGTTATCGAACTCTGGGGCGACACTTAACGACGATTGACCGTATCTCGATAACGGAGCGTCCAATTGGAAAATGGCGAAGGACTTTTCGGTTTCCTTTGGAGGGAGTAATTAGCATCTCTCACCTCCCAGTATCCAAGGCCTCGATTGCTCTTCACGTCACCAGACGCCACCACTGCCACGGGCTTATAACTTTTGAAATCGAAATTCAACTTCAGCGAGTCGGTTCGCTCTATCGGCCACCAAATATGGCTACCAGCGAAGGGATACGTTATTGGAATTACGTCGACGTCTGCCTCGTAATATTCAGGCTCCAAGACGCCAATGTAGTGCACCATGGGATTGGATCGCTTCAATTCGTAGATGATGGACTTGTCGTTGAAGAAAACGTATTTCAGCGAGCCTGAAAATAATTTCAGGTCGGTTAATAGCAATTTTCACCACCTCCTTCTCCCAATATTTATCTTTATCGTTACCTCGAAACGAAGGAAGAGGACGTATAGTATATAAAATTATTAATTCGAATGCTACGAAAATAGATTTGTTTATTAATTGAAATAAATAGACGGTTCGTGTTAGTAATTATGATTTGCACCTGCGAAATTATTGTGCGAAAGGAGACCCTTCTTCTTGTGCAGCTCGGGCCCGCCGCCGATGTAAATTTCAGGATCGATGATCATATTGTAATTTTCTCCAGGAACCTCCAGCACTTTCGTCTCGTCGTCCAGGCTGACGAACACCAGGGTCCCGTTGTGGAATATCGTGAGATTGTTCCAGTGGTTCGCAGTGATGTAATCACCGAGCACCGTGGCAATTTTCGAGTTGTGCCCGAAATCTAGGGCGACGTGCACCGATCCATTCACGATGGAGGCTGCCACGTAGTGCGGGGTCCCATCGATCTCGCCAGATGCGTAGAATAGGGCCGAGTCGTCCCACTTTGTCTGCGAAGGGCACAAAGGATATTCTTTCTAAAGGTAAAGTAATTCCAAGCGTTTGGTTCGAGTGTGCTCTTCTTGTCAAGATTTGTTTTCTTGTTCGTTCGTGTCTGATGAAATCTGAGTTTAATTTATCGCGTACCTTGAACGAAAGGCTTATCCTGTTGACGGATGAGTGAACTCTGTCTTTCCAGTCGTACACGCGAAAGGATACGTACGACGAGCCTCTCAGCGTTAAAATTGTAGCCGCTGGAAAAAGATTGACAAAAATACTAAAATTATCGAAATTTCCTGGATAATTTGCTTTAAATTTCAATCATAGATCGAGCATCGTGTTTATAATAACTAGACTGCGGATTTTTATGCATTTTACGCGAACAGTATGGAATAATATAAAAGAATATTGAAAGTAAAGTTCATATTACAATATTTGCAGAATAGAATATATTCGTTTTTGGGTTCAATTTTTACAGGCACGTTTACAAAGATTTTGTTTTGCAGAAAGATCCGCAGTTTAATAATAACGCTTATTAATTTACATACTGTACACATCGCAACGTTCTCCCTCGTACTTTGTCCCAAAACAGTCGCAAGTCAAACTGTTGTAGTGATTCACGCACTGAGTGGAAATGAAGCAAAGATTCTCTCGCGTCCTGCATCTGAAATTCCCCGCGTAAATCTCTGAACCATTATACTAAAATATTATCAAAACTGACAGCGAATCGTCATTGCGCGGCGAAAACGTGTTCGTGTTCGATAAGTGTCGCAGCGTTATCCCCGCTATTTCTAGACGCTTTCTTCCCTCCCTTCAGTCCATAAGTGTCGCGTTTCGTCCTGACTACAGTAAAAACGAAATAAGAGCAAGCCAGGATTGACTAAATTGCTAAACGCAAGATGACAAATGTAAACACAGAACAGAAACCTCGATTGGATAACTGCAATGTTTGCGACATCGTACTTGCGACACTTATAAACTGCAGGAAACGGAGTTCCCTCTCAGTGACGATTCGCTTTATTTCGTCTAGTGTCTCACTTGTCGATGCAGCCCTCTTTCACATTCTCGTGCTTCGTGGCGATCAGAGGTTGAATGGGTAACAGATCGCTGGCTGATTTCCCTGAACTGAGAACCATGTCTCTTATGCATCCCACGAAGGATTCTATTATGTACTTCACGCCGTGCAGCCGCTCTTCGGAACTCAATCCTAACGAAACATGCATAATTCATACGGAAAGTGATTCGGCATTCATTGTCCATTGGGTGTTTTCCAATAATGGAAAATTGAAAGAATTTAGAAGATTTGAAATTCATCTGAATTTCGTTTCAAGTTAGTTGAAAATAAAAAGGAGATTCAGTGATCACCTCCAATAAGGACGACAGACGCGAGTTCCTCGGAGACTCCATAATTGATCACGTGTTCCAGAACTTTGAGGGTGGTCTCTTCCTGTTTGTCGTCCACTCTGGCGATCAATTTCGCACCGTGGACGTCTATCCTCACCAGAACGCTGTGCCACTCGTCCCTGTTCAAGCCCTCGCCCACCGTCAAGCTAGTCGATCGTTTTCCAAACACGTGGACAACTTTTAATTGACCCTTCTCGACGATCACGTACAGAGCATACGGATCCAGACCCTCTGGTCGATCCTTGACGCTGTGGTAGACCAGAAGACCGTGCGGTAGCTTCGTGCGGAACTTGAAGGATATCTCGCGGCACAGTCTGCAATTTCGAATCGTTGTTAACACTTGGTCAATTCACTGTGCGGTTGTACTATATAGCTAGAGTGGATCGCTCACCTGAGTTGGAACGGTTTGATGCCACTGCCGTCAAGCTGGATGAACGTGTTGCTCTGGGCGAACATGAAGGTCTTCTCGTACCCAGACTCCATGAAAGTTAGCTCCTACGAAAACATTTTCAGCGTATACATCACAATTTTGTGACGAGTTTAACGTTGAGTTTTGTGAACGATTTAGTGATTAACTTTGTCACTCACCTTCCCTCTTTTGTACTTCGGTACAGGTGGTCTCGTCGGTACAGTAGGCGAGAACGTTACCCTCGGAGTGGTTGTAGGAGGCAGTGTGCTTGTTGTCCCAGTGCTCGTCACAAACACACTCGCTTTTGTTACTAAATAAGGCGGCAACGTATCTGAAAACGACGATAAAAAAGATGCTCGAACATTGCTTGATATTCTCAACAGAGACTTTCAAGAGAAAAAGAAAAGAAAGAACAATATTGAGCAGTCCAGTACGTAACTCAAACTTCGATTAATCAAACTTCAATACCAGTTTGCCGAATATTAATCTTCGCTTCTTTTTCCATTGAAACCCAGCGGAAGAATCGTAAGTAATTGAATTTTCTCACGTTCAGGACCGCCTACGCAATAGTGGAGGCACTCAGCTTCCGAGTTGAAGCGATTCTCGTTCCCAAGACAGCCGCCATAGGGGAACACCCTGCATTTTCCCTCAGTCTTGTTAAACGTCCACTTGTGGACGTACTGTTTGCACGGACCTGGCTCAGTTTTCACCAGGCACCTGTCGGGAAACGTTCTCTTGGTCGTGGTGAACGCGTCCGTATCGTCGGACAGGTCCGTTTCCGACGATTCGGTTAGGTTCGCCAGGATCATCGCGTAAACGTTCGCCCAAACGAGGACCCTGAGGATCCGTTTGTTGTGGTCGGTCATCGTTGTTCGTTCGCTGAAAATTCGACGATGTTTCTCTAATTCCTTTCCCCTCTTCCTTAGAAACGTCCTCGACCAGTTTGCGCAAACAAGAGAGCGCCTTTTGGGCATGGAAGATTATTCCAAGTGGCATTTCATTTTGACACGTGATTGTACAGCAGTATTCAGGAAATAAAAATAGAATTTAGTCAGAGGATGAATTCTGTGTCAAACAGTATTAAATCCAATCAAACATATCACGGTGGACCAATTTCTGTTAAGAAGAGACGCATTGGATTATTCTAAATCGTTTTCTAATTGAATCGCTTCGAAGAATTCACTTCAAACGCCGTCAAACAATGCACACGAGCCACTCAAACTTTATCCAAGCAACTCCACTTGCATTAATTGATGCATGAACTTGGAAAATATCTTCCATGCCAATCGACTGAAAATTCCACAGCTTCCACACAATTCCAAACACCCCTTCCCTCTTACAATTCACGTCTCAAACTGGAAACACGTGATCCGTTGCGTTCGAAAGTACGCATCACCCCTGAAATTCTCACGCGCAGCGACCCCATGCATCGTGTCCATGCCACGGCCCATTCCGGAATAAATATTAAATGCAAAATAATGGCGAAGCAGTGCAAAGAGCTAGAAGACGGGGAATGTCTCACGTGGCAGCCAGTGACAGTTTTCTGCGTCCAAACCATTGAGGACGCACGAATCTGCGTACCTTGACGTGCCGTGGTCCAAACGAGATCGCGACTAGCCAGAGGACAGGATGTGACGTCAGAAGGCCCCCGGCAAGCACGGCGGCGAGTCAATTGTCTTCTTTCGCACTGACACACACCGAGGGATCCGATCCCACACGAACGACACGCGCTCTGTCGCGTTTAGAGACCGCGACGACCGCGTCCACTCCTCCTTGTTCGCTCGATGCCTTCACCACCTTCTCTCCTCCGAATTCATCCTCGTCACCGACTCAAGATGATTCGAACAGCTAACGACAGACCGGGGGAATCTCGTGAATCATTTCTCAGGGCGAGCGAACGCGACGTTCGGTTTTTGGAAGCTACGATTGGCGCGTTTAGCGAGGGGAGGTGCAGTTAAAAATTGAAGAGCGGGAGTTGGAGGAGCGTGGGTGATTTTTTGGGGTAACAGGGGGGGAAATAGATTTCTTGGAGGGGTAGGATCTAGGTGAGGAATATTTTCTTATTTTTCAGGAGCCACGATTTTCCAAAAGAGGAATATTTTGTGTGATTTTATTGGAGAAGCATGGAGGAAGCGTGGTTAACTTTTTTGGGGTGATAGTTCTCTTGTATCTCTCTATTTCACGTACGCCACTTTTAAAATATTTTCTTATTTTTCAGAAGCCTCAATTTTTCAAGGAAACATTGTGCAAAATTTTATTAGAGAAGCTTAAAAGAGCATTTAATTTTGTTTGGTGTAACAAGGGGATGATAGCTCCCTTTTATCTCTTTATTCTACATACACCATATCCTTAATATTTTCTTATTTTTCAGAAGCTTCTATTTTTCAAGGAACCATTTTACAAAATTTTATTAGAGAAACTTAGAAGAGCATTGAATTTTTTTTTGGTGTAAATAGGGGCTGATGGCTCCCTTGCACATCTCTATTCTACATACGACACCTCTAAACTATTTTCTTATTTTTCTGAAGCATCAATTTTCCACGGATCCATTTTACAAAATTTTATTAGAGAAGCTTAGAAAAGCATTTAATTTTGTTTGGTGCAACAAGAGGATGATAGCTCCCCTTTATCTCTTTATTCTACATACACCATATCCTAAATATTTTCTTATTTTTCAGAAGCTTCTATTTTTCAAGGAACCATTTTACAAAATTTTATTAGAGAAGCTTAGAAGAGCATTGAATTTTTTTTTTGGTGTAAATAGGGGGTGATGGCTCCCTTGCACCTCCTTTCTCCTGAATAAGAGATACGTAAGTATACCAAACCTTTGATCGACTACGCTTGAAATTTAGCGAGTGAGAGAATCGAATGGTGGTCGGTGTCCATGATTGTACCCGTCATCGTCATCACCTCCACCTCTTCCTATTCGTCTTCCTCTTCTATCTGTTGTTCCTCCGGCTTCTGTCGATGCTCCTGTTGCCGCTGCTGCCGCTGCTTGTACCAACTAGACACTAATTTATTAATGCCACTCCGACTGGTGCTCTCTCTTACTCACTGTTTATTGACTATCATTGCGGGTCCAGCCGCCACCGACGCTTTTTCGCGTAACCCTTTAACCCTTCACGATTCCTCCCCGTTTACTTGCGAAACATTTCACTCGATCATTCACGATCATTTTTCATTAAAATATTTCGGTCTATCGAAGGTATCAGGATGTCTCGATAGTAATTAGTCCGATTAAAAGCAGTGGATTGAAGCTTATTTTGTTTACTAATGCTACAGTCATAAATATTAGGTCGTCCCATAAATTCGTTCTGTAGACTGAGGCGATACTTAATAAAATACATAATAAATAAAACTACAAAAATTGTTTAGAGACTGTATAATGACCATGTCAGAAAGATGGGAAAATATTGTAAAACGAGAGAAATTTTCCTAGGTAATTTGAATATTTTCATATGTCAATTGGAATAACAGAAAAATAAGAGGCATGAATATATGAAACGACCTAACGTTTTAGTAAAGGCAGGTAGAAGTTCTCTTAAATAATTGATCACGAATAAAACCAACGCCGCACGTTCATTCTCGATCGACCTTATGCACTTTTAATACCTGTATGGATTATTGGTAATACGTTATTTAGATGTGTTTGACGATGCTTTTTTTATTCGAAATAGTATCGCGTTTCTTATTTTGAGGCAGTAAGGTGGAACACTCCTCGTGGGCGCTCCTTCTGTTGTCTTCGCAAAATCGATATATCGAGCAAACCTGGCGACTGGGTCATTGTAGCGGCCGTGTTTTAAAGAGAAACCTTCGTAAGAACCCGGAGAACGCCTGTTCTTCATTTGCCTAATGAGCAATCAAATTCACCCTTCCATTCGCATCGAGCGTACCACTCGCGATTAATTACAGTTGCTGAACGTAAAATAATCTCTCACGGAAGAAGATCGTCGAGATAAGATGTTGCAAAAATGGTTGAGATTAAGAATAACCCAGAATAAAAATATCGAAATCATTTAATCGAGGATAAAGTGCGTACGAATTTCTAAAATTTAATTTTATTAATTTTACAATGGAGCTCCCAACGCAAAGAAAGTCGAATTGAAAGTAGTGGGTCGAAGATACAGTAAAGTTGAATTAAAAATTGAATTAAGAACACTGAAAGTTGAAAATTTTACAACGAAACGCTACCAACGCAATTTAAAGAAAGTCCAATTGAAAATAAACATCTTTTCCAATTGAAAAGATACAGGAAAGTTGAATTAATAATTGAATTAAAAATAGTGAAAGTTGAATTAAAACGATTAGATGGAAGACGTGGAAATAATTATAAAGGGTGGATAATTTATCCCGATCACGAGACTACTACCTAACATTGACATCGAATAGTGATTCATAGACGGGAAAATTATTCCTTGTTTCACTGAACACGTCGATTTCGTTTAAGAATTAAGAAGGAAGAGAGGCTGCTGGGCGACCGGAAGTCACGTAGGGCGCTACAACGATCTTAACCTTTGAAGGGAGACGATTACAATTTGCATAAAGGAAGCCTGTCTTCTAGAATCTGTGCGTCCAGCGCGCATAGCAATGGAAAGCGTGAATTAGTCGGGTGAATCATTTGATTCTATTGTGCAACTATTGTTCGATCGGCTGGATGTGGCGCGAATGAAGTTTAGGGATTTAAGGGTCGATGCGAGTCGATGAAACAAGGGAGTCTTAACGAACGCGACGGAAACTAATTGTTTTCGAGGGGTGTTAAACTTTTAATCTGGATGTCAATAATGTGACACAGTTTGTCAGAGAACTTACGTCCATACATGTATATGTTTATGGTATTCGATAAAGAGAGAAAGAGAAAATTGAAGATCTTGCTAATTGTAATCGAAGCACTTATTAATTATTCTTCTTTAGATGGGATATGTTTACGTAATCTGCGTGTAAACGCTTTCGATCATTAATCAGGTCATCGCTAGATACATAAGAAGTTATTGATAAGACTACATTGTGTCTAGAATAACAATAGTATATCAATCGAGTAGTTGATAACCTAGTATCAGCGAGAGTGAAATAAAAAATGGAGAAAGTGGTGTGAAAAGAATTAAGAATTAGTTAAGATTAATCTAAAATTTGATTTAATTGATACAACGACGATGGAGGATCTTTGCTTCTGACAAGCTGCTTAATTATTTAATTGATGTGCAAATATTTTTGTTGCGTGTAGAAGATAGTCTTATTGATGGCTCTATGTAATTGTAAGCGTTTATATCTAGATTACTGTATGTAAAAGAAAATAATTAAATAAATGCTTAAATTGCAACGAAGAGAATCTAATTTTATCGTAACTAAATAAATGAAATTTTTGCAAAGATAGTTGTATTTTGTCAAGGACCATTTTAAAGTCAACGTAATTGCAACAAACTAAGAACCACTGCAGTTAGTACAGCTACGCTGTCTACTATAAACATCGTTGTTTAGTTGACTATATTATATAATGTTGCGTATTGGTAAACACGTGTAACTTGTTGCGGTTGTCAAGCTAAATCTGAAGTGTAGATTAAGAGTCACAATATTATTAGTCACCGCCGAAATAATTTATCGTAAGATGTAAAGTTCAAGCCATCGAGTACGCTCATTTAATAAATAACAAAAGAAATCACTATTTCCGAAGAATATATTTCACGAACGAGATTGAGCGTTCGAGGACCTCCTAATTGGTGCGATTAATAATTACCGAGCACGCTGGAACTCGAGTCACCATTGCGCGCGTCACGCTTTAAAAATGTCCCGTTTGCGTTGCTTTCCCCGGGCTTTTAATCATAAGCCAAAGATTTTGGTCAAAAACATTTTAACTGGGTCACCTAATCCTGATCCACGAAGTGAAGCAGGCGAAAAACGTGTAAATAAATTTTGTCATCGATTCTGAATAATTATATGATTGTGTATGTTTTCATTTTGTTGGAACTGAAAATAGTTGGGGATCTAGTTGAGTATAAAATGTTAGGTTTAGGTTGGAAGTTTATATGAAATTTTAGATTACCTAGGTTATACTTCATTGGGTTCATCAGTTAAACTATACTTCAACTATAATTCAACTATACTTCAACTCTTCTTCTTGTGATTAACCCAGACCTAACTCAATTGACCATAAAACAATAGGTTAACATGACTATAGAAGCTACTATGAAATTCTAAATTAATAAGACTATACTTCCTCGAATTCATCAATTAAGGTATACTTCAACTCTTCTTTTTATGATTAACCCAGACTTAACTCAATTGACCATAAAACGTTAGGTT